CAGTGGGCCTTGTGATTCCTAGCCCCAGACCATAACTCGTCAAAGATACAAGGGAAGTCAATCCCTTGACCAATTGTCTGCTAATTAGTTGTGACATCTCCTGGAATCTTCTTGTTGCTATGAAGGATCTGTCTTATCTGTCAGTTTCAGTGATTTCACTCGATCGTCGCCACCATATCAGTGCTACTCGAGATTTTATATTCTACACTTTGCCTCAAGCTTTTGATTTCTCGTATACACCAGCTTCATTAAGCAAGCCCCCAAATTCTGGATTCTTAAGTTGCATAGTAACCTAACTTGATGCTACTGATTCCCTTATCACTATTCGACATGTGCACTGAGTAAATCTCATGGCCGAGCCTTTACGTCACAGACCACGTCTATGATGAAACTCATCTACTAATAGCCAACTATCGATGGTCTTCTCTGCATCTTTTGTTCTTCTATCCATAATGACAAGTCTATGATTTTTCTTTACCATAATCTCTTATGTGACAAATCCCAAATGTTATAGTTGTTCATGTTACTTTGAGTAGGCTCACTGGAGACGTCTTTTCTTGGTTTCCGATTGTTTCTCTGTGATCTCCTTGCGATTTCTTTTCCTCAACTTGAAAATATTTCCTTAATATAGTCGTCTTACTTTTTGCTGATTTTGTTATTCCATAATATCTTCCCAATTTGCTTAGACAATATGCAAAGCTTTCATTAATCTTGCCTTCTTAAAGTCTTCTGTTTTTTAGATTTCTTTCCGTCAGGATATCGATGACCTATCGTATCTTGCGTTTTCTTGTATTTTTATCATATGAAGCCAGCCTTTCAGTAAATTTTCTGTCGATTTCGTGTCTCGTTCGTGCAATATCTTCCACTATTTTTATATGTGTTTATCTGTTTTTCTGCACTCTGGTGTTCCTTTATTAGTAGGCTGATTTTTTTTCCTTTCTAACCAATATACTTCTGCTCACAGTTGCTGCATTATTTGCGATAAACTCCCGAGAAATCCAGTTTGACATTTCGTTTTTTAGTAGATTTTCAACTACCAGTCCTTTATCACCTTAAATCAAATAGGTTGACACAGATCATATATGTGATATACTTGTAGTCTCGAACACATACTCTAAAACGAAATATAAGTTATGTCGTCAATTGATATAGCAAACATGAGTTTGCTACATCGATAATCCCATCAAAGTGTGATATGGGGAAATGTCTGGCCTTCCTTGAAATTCACATCTGCCCTGTGGCCCAAGGGCACTTGTGGCATTGCAGCGTAGTAGTTTACGTGTCGAGATTCCACCCTGAACTGTCATGATTAGAGTCTTATTGTAGGTGTTGATAAGACCTAGGCGAGATTAAAACTGCAGTACATCCTGAATGAGAAAACCTTTTTTGAAAGCAAGGATATGTCAAATTCAATGAAAGCATCATGTCTACTCATTTCATTGTGGGCAAATTCAACTACCAATCCTTTATCATCATGAGCCCTATATTTCTTTCTATGAATTCTCTGGGATACCCATTACTAAGAAAAATCCGAGTGTTTTTTTTCAAATCTTCAACCCAGAACTCCGTGTCCGTTAGTCTTAATCTTCTGATAATCAAACTCCTGAGTATTCCGATCTTCACTCTTTAGTTGTGATGAGACTGAAAATTGAGTATTATTCCGGCATGTGATTTCTTTCTGAATTGTCTCCTCTTGAGTGTCTCGTTGGAGCGCATGACCTCAACAGCCAGGAAAGGTAATCACTCATCCTCTTCCACCTTCATTGTGAATTTAATTATTCCATAAAATTGGTTTATAAAATTGAGAAATTCATCCAATTTTTTCTTACCATGCGACATGTGTGCAAAGTAGTCATCCAGGTATCGCATAAACACTCTTAGTTGCAGCTGTTACTTCTTGAAGTTGTTTTCCAATTTGTCCATGTATACATTTTTCATAGGATGTGAAAGTGGAGATCTTTTAGGTACTTCCAATATTTGCCCATATATATTGCTGTTGAAGGTAAAATATGTGACCGTTATTGTCAAGTTGATCAGTTGTGCTAACGACTCATTGCGTATCCTCTTTGCTTCCAAAATATCCTCCTCTTGCAGTAACTGCCTTCTCGCATACATAAATTTTTCCATACTCACATCCGTACACTCCTTCATGAATTGACATATCAATTCACTTATTACTCTTTCATTTGTCTCCTTTAACGCTTTATATTTCTTTGTGTATTCTCCTTTCTGTTGTACTTGTATCTTTTACCTTCAACCTATCGCTTGTCATTTACCTATCTTCGCATGGCCAGATGATCAGCCTGACTACTGAAGTGGGTCGTGGGGCGAAACAGCTTTGCGAGATGTGTCAGTCACTTGCAGCTCAGGTGGCAAATTCAGAACCTCGTCGACAGGTAAACGAGGCGACGCGGAGCACAATGACTGCCATCTCGGAGATGCTGCAGCGCGCTACCGACTGCTCCATGGAAGGCCGCCAGCGAACACTGGGCCATGCCCAAAACGTTAGCGGTCGGATCAACCGGCTCGTCTGGCGCGTCACCTCGGACCATCAATTCACTGGACAAACCGCTCGAATTACTGAAGAAGCCAGAGAGGTAGGCCTTGCTGAGCTTTGGGCTCTTTCCGTGTTCGATAGACTGGATAATTTAGACAAAAGAAACTTATTTGTTTATTTTTATATTCTTATTATATCATTTACTATTACTTATTCGTATTTTATTCATTGGGAAGTATTTATGCATGTGCTTTGTATTAAGGACTTATTAATACTCTCGACATAATGGACTTTGCAAATCCACATTTTAGTTTTTGACCCTTTGCTTGTCGTCTAACGGATCACCTAGCCTGACGAATTTATGGACCTTGTTTATAATTCATTCTCACATCAAGCCTGACACTTATTTTAGGCGTGAACTTTGTGATAGCTTAGAAACCTAATTCGGCTTAGTATAAAGGTGGCCTGGGCTCTGTGGTTGAGTTTCGACATCGTCAGTGAGTCTCGCCATTCGTAGCACTAGTACAGCTCGTCAAAGAGACAAGTGAAGACCATACTTTAACCAAACGTGTGCTAAACAGTTGTGGTATCTCTCCTTCGGCCCTGGGTTATTCATATTTCCTATATCCTCCTATCACGTCTTCACTCTTACACTTTTACCGATGTATTGGTGTGCTCCTCTGAGCGGCATTCATGAAAATCCTACTGTCGTTCTCAGCCCCTTCACACTTGCGCTGGGTATTTTGATCAGAGTCTGCCATATTGTTACGCAATCCTCCTTCCCTAGGTCTCATTACAGTCTCTCTCTTGCCCCGTAAGATCCTTCTACTCTCTCCCTGGTTCATATATTTTACTCTTCCCCTGCCACCCCATCTGTGCTGCTTAAGGCGTTATTCGCCCTCCCCTGCGTTTGGGTGATTAATTCGAGGCTGAAGCTTCTGAGTAAGTCTCATGGTCACGCCGTTGCTACATGGACCACGTCTATGGTAAAAACAGACCTAATATCAGCCAACTAGCTCCAATCCCCGCCACGTCTGCTGGCTTTAATTAAGTTCAATGTTGAACCACAACGTTTGCGGATTGGCACAAAAGAGACTAGGGCATAGGAAGTCATAGAATTGGTAATATAGATAGAAATAGGATAGCAGCAGTGGAAACTAGAGCTAGTTGGCTAACAATAGACGTGTTTGATCATATACGTGATCATTAAATCACGAATAGTGTCTTCCTACCAATATGACCAAGTTGCAAAAACAAGCTCAAAA